ATGAAGTTTAAATTCGCAGGCCTGTGTAATTAGACTTTATACAATACTTACTGATATGTATAAAACTAGTAAAAACATTTTAAATAAATGTTCATATACCTAAAAAACTCTCGAATTTCATTATGTACAAACTTTAATTACAGTTTGTACAACTTTCGAGAGTATGTTTTTTGACGTAACTTTGCATGCGTGTCGTCTCGCAGATAACGCTAATCCTCAATATGGCGGGTAACACGCCCTTAATAGCCTCGTTCTCGTTCAAACGCGGATTTGTGGTATCTAACATTTTAACGAAAAGTTACTGCTTAATACTGACTATCTAATGTGCAGAATATATCACATTATTTTGTAATTAAAATGACAGTTATAAGAATACTTAAACGTGAATAAAGCCAACTCAATGAACAATATTCTATACGTTCAGATATGTCATCGTTGAAAGCTGTTCCTTATCGCGATCGCGGCATATCATTTCCTTGAAGCTTTGGCTAACGTGCTTTCTACAATAATTTCAAAACTGAGTGTCCTTACTCGAATTACAGTTACGGATTTTATTTATGTAAACTTGTGATAATTGACGGAAAAAGTGCACTTACCAGTTAATTCTGTTATTCTTTTCCTGTGTTTTGATTCGTACAATTTCAACAAACTAAAGGGATGAGCGTGCAGCGCAGCAATGTGTCCTTCATACACTTGTAGCTGGGACGCTAGGATGCTCAAGGAGGAATGTAAAGCGCCGGGAGAGGGCGCTATATGTGGTCACGCACGTGCTGGAGTGTGCGTGTATGTTATTATTCGTAAAAGTTCTACACTTTTATATGGAAGTAACGTCCTCCACAGAAATACAGTTGTGTCTTAAATTGTTAATCATATTGTAACTTTATTTTATTGCTATTATACTTGTTTTCTCAACAAGCTATGCATAAACACCATGAACTTATTAATCACGTTGTGGTATTCAGGGACTCTTATGTTCAATGGAAACATGAATCTGTAATACAGCGGCTTCAGGAGTGAACACAAATGTTTGAATAAAACCACCAATCTTTATTCCTTATAATAAATCTGATTGGTGAACAATATTTATTATTACGTAAATCACGTGGGTATTAATAAAACCAACAATCTTTATTCGTGATAATAAATCTGATTGGTGAACAATATTTATTGTTACGTAAATCACGTGGGTATTAATAAAACCAACAATCTTTATTCGTGATAATAAATATGATTGGTGAACAATATTTATTGTTACGTAAATCACGTGGATATTAATAAAACCAACAATCTTTATTCGTATAAAAAATCTGATTGGTGAACAATATATATTGTTACGTAAATCACGTGGGTATTGTTCACCAATCAGATTTATTATCACGAATAAAGATTGTTGGTTTTATTAATACCCATGTGATTTACGTAACAATAAATACTACTGAGGTCTCGCAGGGTGCTACTGCGGTCATGCATGGTTTTACTGTTGTTCAGCAAGATGTTGCTGGGGTCCCACAGGATGGTACATGGGGCTCATGGGGTATTACTGTGGTCATGCAGTATGTTACTGTGGTTTATAAGAGTGTTCCTGGGCTTTCTTAGGGTGCCACTAGTGTCACCCAAAATGTTACTGTGGTCTCGCAGGGTGTTACTGGAATCATGTAGGGTGTCACTGAAGTCACGCAAGTTGTAAACAAGACGAAGAAGGAATAAAAGCTGCATTCGGGTATCCCAAATAAGGATCCATAACTAATATGATTTTGAACTCGGATAATGAAAGAAATGAAAACAAACACAAGTTTACTAATAAGACAAGGTTCTTTTATATGGAAGTACATAAATAAACACAAGTTTGCTAATAAGACAAGGTTCTTGTATATGGAAGTACATTAACAAACACAAGTTTACTAATAAGACAAGGTTCTTGTATATGGAAGTACATTAACAAACACAAGTTTACTAATAAGACAAGGTTCTCGTATATGGAAGCACATAAACAAACAAGTTTACTAATAAGACAAGGTTCTCGTATATGGAAGTACATTAACAAACACAACTTGTTTATGTACTTCCATATACAAGAACCTTGTCTTATTAGTAAACTTGTGTTTGTTAATGTACTTCCATATACAAGAACCTTGTCTTATTAGTAAACACCTTGTCTTATTAGTAAACTTGTGTTTCCTTGTATATGGAAGTACATTAACAAGACACAAGTTTACTAATAAGACAAGGTTCTCGTATATGGAAGCACATAAATAAACACAAGTTTACTAATAAGACAAGGTCCTTGTATATGGAAGCACATTAACAAACACAAGTTTACTAATAAGACAAGGTTCTTGTATATGGAAGTACATTAACAAACACAAGTTTACTAGTAAGACAAGGTTCTCGTATATGGAAGCACATAAATAAACACAAGTTTAATAATAAGACAAGGTTCTCGTATATGGAAGCACATTAACAAACACAAGTTTAATAATAAGACAAGGTTCTTGTATGTGGAAGCACATAAACAAACACAAGTTTACTAATAACAAAGTTCTTGTATATGGAAGCACATAAATAAACACAAGTTTACTAATAAGAAAAGGTTCTTGTATATGGAAGCACATAAACAAACAAGTTTACTAATAAGACAAGGTCCTTCTATATGAAAGAACATTATGCAACTAATATAACAACAAATTCGTAAACAACGATTTGTAAGCCTAATGAAGTGTTTTATTTTTTATGGAACATACTGCGTGTTTCGACAGAACATTGGTCAGCCTTCTTGTTTATCCCTTAAAAGTACAGTCCTTCTAGCTTCTATGAGACGTTATACATACAGCTATAGCCAGACTGTTGAGTGTGCTAACAGTAAATGTCCCTGTATTCCTCCGGCCAAAGAATGCTGCCTCAGTGGTAAGTAAATGGAAATCAGAGGATACCGCCTGAGAGTTACATAAATATTATGTAATATGCAAATGATATTGACATCTAAAGATTACATAACTCTTACGTAATGGTATCAGAGGGCGTGTTGTTAGGGGCGGACGATGTTACTAAGGTGTTGTAGGCGGATGGTCTTATTAAGGATAGTGTTTCTATAGGCGGATTGTGTTACTAAGGTTAGTACTACTAGGGCTGATAGTGTTACTTGTAACGAATTTATTATTATATATTTATTTGAATATCAACGTTTGTTTAGATTAAGTATATATTTTGAAATATGTATGGCTTACAGTTTTAAATATGTATTGCGAAACTCCCACCTATTCTCCAAAGTTGTAGAATATTCTCAAGAGTTAGAATCAATAACATATGTGTGTACATAATCGCTTGTGGTAGCGCCAGTATTGTTACGTAAAACTGAAAATTTGAGAAAGCCTCCACATGCCTATAAATATAACCAACGTGACGCGCCGAAAAAAAGAGTATCTATTACTAGTTTGCTGTACTCAGTGGGCTATAAACTTCGGAAGCTATAACTGTGGTTGTTATAACGCTTATCAATCGGAAATTTTCAGATATTTGACCAGGAGCATTTACAAAGTTCGAACATTATAAATAATTTAACTTCAGTAATTCATATTGGACATAATTATTTTTACGAAAACATTACATAATGTCACGATGGAAAAATCGGCGTGTTTGGCTGGTGAATAACGAAAGATAAAGCTAGCTAGCTCCCTGTTAAGTGAATTATACCTACGTCAACTCGTAATTAACTAAAATTTACAATAACAGTTATTACAAATAGTTATTGCAAACAATGATTTATAAACAAAAATTTCACAAACTTACAAGCAATATAAAGTCTTCTTTCTAGTCTGGAACTTCTTTGTTATCTTATCAAGGGTTCACGATGAGCGATTCTTGTGGGTGTATTAAAACATATTTGTGTTAGAAAAGAAAACTGTGTGTATCAATCTTGTTGGCAAATATCATAAATTGACTATATATCGGCTTTTACTTAACTGCTAAATCCAAAGTACAATTAAACTACTAAATTTAAAATATCATTCAGCTCGGTTTCAGACCATTTGAAATTATAATACGCAACATACTATAGATGGATAGTTCAATAAGATGATGAACTCATCCTTGGGTGTCTAAAAGTGTCTCAACATACTATAGACGATTAGTTCAATAAGATGATGAAACATACTATAGACGGATAGTTCAATAAGATGATGAACTCATCCTTGGGTGTCTAAAGTGTCTCACCATGTGATTACCTTATCACTTCTATATTTGATATTTATCACTCTAACTGTTTCACTCTTTTAAGTTAAACCGCGAGACAACTGTATTTCTAAGTATCGATTATAGATTTAATATCGATTTTATATCGATTATAGATTTATCAACGTTGCAATCTATATTTAATTATATGTTCTAACAAGTTACAAGTCAAACTAATATTTGAACGAGACAGTTAGCATAGCTCACTGTGTTTTAGACAGTTAGTATAGCTCACTGTGTTTTAGTTAATGATTAAATTGCATGTGTCATAAAAGTTTTGAATACTTTACGAGTAAAACAACTATTATAAGAAGCTGATAATTTGCATTACATGTGTCGTGTAAAACTTTTTTTCACACATACTATCATCATTTATCCATTATTTAATCGAATCAGATACTATAGCTAATAATTGATCTTACATACTGTTACGCCTCCAGTCGTTAGTTAATTTTCCGTAACTTCGTTCCGACGAAACTTTAGCGACACAAGTCCTTTCTTAAATAAAACCGGTTTATCCTTTCCGAATACAACTTTACGATACACTTAATTTCAACAGTCGCGCTATAACAAACGCTAGAACGTCTCACGTGCTCGTGCTCGACAATACTCAATTACGCACTCTCTCTGGCTGCAGTTCAAATACTCACTACTACACTGCACATTGTTCCGTCACGTTGTGACCATCTTATATATACCAGACTACCCCCAATCTAGTAATCTCCCGACAATTCACGAAGGTTCGAGAAGGAAGTGGCGTGATACTAGTCACGTCACCTCGCTGACGCAACAATACTTTTACAGTTATCCGCCACTTTATATATAAAACCTTTCGTTAGTTCATCAGTTCTAAAGTTTTCGCTTCTCTAATTGCTATATCTTACAATTATCTGTCCTGGAAAGTTTTTATCATGCCTATCTTTCATTCAAAAATATATTTTCTTCCTTACTGTAATCTTTGACAACTTTGATTATGCGTGTTTTATATCCTGTCTCTCTTAAGTTTAGTATAAAAGGCCAAACTTGGCTACAAAATATACACAACACAGGATATGTTAAATATGTCAGTAATCGTTTGTCCAGAACTTAACTTTTGTGAGTCATGGTGCAAGGATCCAACACTGAGTAGTATAAAGCACGTGTATTCAATTATTAGTCATAAATACTCATCATATAAACGAGTAAAAAGAGTGAAGGTCAGGAACACATTCTAAATCTGTCCAATCACACTGAACACATTCTCAATCTGTCCAATCACACTGAATGCGTAAAATTATCTTTGCTTTATGTTATGATATAATTTACGTTTGACATTTTAGTCATTGAATTCAAGTGTGTTATATATTCTGGAGGTTTTTCCAAGTGAAGAAGGCAAACAATGAACCTCTTAGATCAAATCACTATAAGCTTGTTTAT